TCACTCGGCCTTCTGGGGCTCAGGTTGCATGGTAATAAAACTGCATGTACATGTCCAGCTTCGAGCTTGGGCTAGATCCTGGGCTCTGGGACCCTGCAACAGGGCCAAATCTGAGAGCCCAGATTCCAGAGTGAGTCCAAATGGCTACACTGCAATTTTATAGCCCCACAGTCCAAGCCTTGTGAGCTCAAGTCAGCTGACATGGGACAGCTTCAGATGTTTTATTGCAGTGTAGACATACTCTTAGGGCTTTGTTATGGAGTGAGGACGGTTGCTTAATTGTTTATGACCGCAGGTATGTTTAGATGCTAAGTTTCTGGACCCCACTATTTGGAACCACTTTGATGGCAACAGCCTTCCACCAAGGTTCACTGTTTTGACCAAGTTTGGATTCAGTGAAAAAACAGAGTCTTGATTCTCATTGGTTGCTGAATATTAGTTTTTTTATTTGGATTTCTACAATTATAAAAAGGACTTCTATCCAGAACTAGGTGCCCGGTCAAGTTAAAAAAATAAAACCAAACAGCAGCTTACCCCCAGGTTCAGCCCACAGAACTAAACCTCCTGAGAACATAACACACAAAAGTCCTCTCCTTCGAAGAACCTGACAATCCTGGGGCAACCACAGAGGGAGCCAAGTCAGGCAGTGCCGTGACCTGTAAGAGGATGTGAAATGTTTCCAAACCGTTTCCAAATAATGTTGTTTAGTAAAGTCCTTCCATATGTATAATAAAAGTACTCCCCTAACACCTACAAATCCTGCTCCATGGTCTCTATTCATTCACTAAAAAGGACCTTTTCATAGGTATGCAACTTTAAAGGCTTTGGTTTGGAGCCCTAGTCTGCATTTAAGCACAGAAATGGCAATACAATACACTGAGTGGAGGAGAGAGCATTAATAATATGGAAGGCCTGATGTGGGTTGGCTAGAGCAATTTACCCCACGCAAAAAGGTCTATGGTTGGCGGAAATGCCTGGCAGGTAACAATAGAACTAATGGAATTAACCTGTTACGAATTTCAGAAATTAGACTAATAAAGAGCAGAAATGCTAATCTCTATTCTGTGCAACAATTTAGCCTCCAAAATAAAGGTAGAAAATCTCTGCACTGCAATTAGAGATAAGTACTGTATTTCATAGTATTTTGCATTTTGTATTATTTTGCATAATAGTAATAGAACTATCTGTATATTTTAAATTGTATGGAAACAGCAAACACCTGAGGAAAACTTCCTCCTTTATGCCTTACCAATGAAAAGGTAAAATGCATTTATACTGAATTGGTTAGTGAGATTATTTTAAATAAGTGTTGCAAATTCCTTTTTAATGCATTTTATTATGTAGTAAATCTCCATCTTAGGGAGAATTTCACATTATATCCCTTTTAAATTTCATCTCTCCTATAAGAAATGTCTCTATTAATACAAAGGGAAAGGATGATCCTGACATTAAAGCACAGGAATGGAAATTGGACCTGTGTTCTATTCTTGGCTATGTGACGGACTTCCCGCCTGAAATTAGGCAAGTCATTGGTTAACTTTTCAAACCCTCAGTTTCCCTCATCTGTCATATAAAGATAATGGACCATCTCCTCAGTGGGTGTAAACTGATGCTACTTCATTGATTCCCTTGGTAGAGCTCTGGTGTTTTACATCTGCTGAAGATATACTCCATTAATTCTTACCTGCCTTCCACTGCTGTTGGGAGGCTGAATTAATTAATATTAAGTGCTTTGGTATTCTCAGATTCTCCACAAATGCAAACTTTCATTAAACTCTGTTTTCTGCTTGTTTATGAGTCCAGGAAATAAAACCAGTGATACATCCGGTGTTAGTTACACATACTTCATGTACCAGAAAAAATAAGCAGCTTGATTGGTATTTCAAATACATAAAATCCGATAAGACCAGGAGTATCAGAAGTGATCAGCAGCTAACATATTAATGTGTTTTGAGGAGATTTTAGTATGAGGAGTGGAACTTGAGAAGGAGGGTCAGGTTTCAAGAGGTTCCTGATTTATTGTAACATCATGGGTTTAGGAATGCAGGCCCAGCCAGGCTGCTATATCACAAACTGTATTGCCTCAGCATATAACACTGGCCTCTCAGTGTCTTCCCTGTAACTCTGCTTGTGTGCCATATCAATTACTACTAATGATAAAGTTGGCACCTAGACATATGCTAGAAATATCTCAGCTTCATTTAGATGTGTAAAGACAAAAAGGGCCAAATCTTGCTGACCTTAATCACAGGAGCAATTACATGAACTTCAGTAAAAAATCCCATAGGAATAAGACCAGCAGGATTTTATCCTGAAAATTAACTTCATTGCATATGGTAATCACTGGCAAGATGCACAGGGGATTGCTAAGAGGTTATGATATGGAAAATGCCAAAACATTTTAAAGCACATCTCTACTGGCTTATAAAACTCCCCACACAATTCAGTTCATCCCTGGAAATATGTAATCTCACTTTGACGCATGTGCAAATATAAGGGAATACTGATCATTAAAGGTCTCTTTGAAAGTGATAAAGTAAATACCTTTCATATGTGCAAAATAAAATTCTCTCTCTTTTAAGATAAAATATGGGAACATGCACAAAAAAAGGTCCTATTCCCCTCCTGCAAGTAAAGAATAACTACTTCTGAAGGCAATGGCCTTCTTTACACTAAGAATTTGAAGCAATATCCCTACCTTTGGTCTAGTACCAGTTCAGCACCCCTCCCGCCGTGCTAGAAAAGACTGAAGCACAAATGTACAATGTGTGCAGATATTTTTACCACTGTATCACCTGGACCTGCTTTGGTATGGTGATGCCCTGATGTCCATTCTAAGCTAGCACTTCTACTCCAGTCTAGTGGTGTGATTTTCCCTCCATGCTTCATCCCAGACTGTCTTTGCACTGATATACCTCTCCCAAATGTAATTTACATAGTTAGGAAGTAATGGGTTGAATTCAGCCAGGAGGTAAGCAGGCGCCACTTGATTGGCCTCAGAGTAATTACACTTGCTTATGCCATGGCTGAATTTGGACCAATATACCTTGACCTCATCAGTCCAATTAGCATATTCAGGGAAGGATGAGGCAGAGGTCCACTGCTGTGTTTCTGCACTGCCTGCTGCTTCATACAACTTCCCAGGGGCCCTATTCTCTGCATAATAAGACCCCCACTGGCTACCTCTCCACTGAGAATTTTAGCAGTTCCCTCACCAATGGTCAAGCACAAATGCATAATGCTAGCCATGATGGAAGTGTCAGAGTAAAGCCACACAGGGATTTTTATCACTGTGTCAACTAGATCTAGGTTTGGTCAACATGTGATGTTGCATGAAATCACCGACATCTCCCTTGTCTGTGCTAGCATCCTAGGGGCTGGAGCATGTGCAAACTGCAACCATTAACAATGCTGCTTGTTGATGTTGCAATCCCCTCCTTCCTCTATTTTCAATGTGACAACCTGCAGTTGTATAGCTCATTGCCACAGGCTGGCCTCCTGCACTGGGAGTCCCCATAGGATTTGAGAGAGCCCTGAGATGAAAGCAGGATAAGTGACTATCAGGGCACAACCTCTGCCAGCACCATACTGAACACTGGGCAGAAAGACAAGGGAGGAAGGGAGGTCCTGAGCATAGCCAGGAGCCCTCTGTTTCTGTGGCATAGTGCCTGCCAGTGAGCATGCATCCCTAGATTTGCTGGCTTAGCCTATTTGCCATCACCATCCTGTGCACACCACTGGACTGGAGTGTGCCTGGGACTGTCACCTCCTCGTTGATGGGGGCCATCAGGATCTGTGTCTGCACGGCTGAGTTAGGTTGGAGTCGTGACCAGACCAGCTCTTAAGTCATGGTTCTGAATTGGGAGTAACAGGACGTGTCCTAATTCCATTTACATCTGCCTCTCCCTTTGCCTGGTCAGTCCAGGGAGCTTTCTGCGCAGGTGGGGATGGGGGGATGGAAGGGGAGGAAGGCAAAAGGCTCCACCTACATTTACAAGTGTGACTCTATCAGGTTATTGGAGATCAAGTGCCTGATGCATCCGAAAAGATGTGGCGGGGGGGGGGGAGGGGGGGTCAGCACTGAGCTATGCCCCTATTGCCAAGACACTGGGGTTTAGTTTATTACAGGCAATGCATTGCACCATCTGTAAAGTGCCCACATGCAACTCCAGTGTTAGCACTGGAAGGGACTTTCAGAAAGTTGCATCTCCAGGGAGCTGCAGTCTGCAAGGAGAACGGGTCGAAGTGAGTTTAAGTGTTTTCAGCTAGTTATTGGTGAAGCTAAACACAACTGATTTTTGTATAAATACCAGTTAACTCCAGTCTTTGACATAACGCTCCTGATTAATTGCTTCTGCAGCATGGCTGTGCCCAGGCACTGCTTTATGTCATTATGCTGTTTGAATACTTCCAAGAAGTGTTGGCTGGCTAGTTGGTCTTTCCCTTTAAGACTTTAGCAATGTTAGAACACACATGGTTGTGAGCTTTGAAAAAACAAACAAAACTGGTTTCTAAATGGATGAGCTAAAGCAGAATGAAACACCAAGACTTCATGTAGGGTTTGTGATGCTAATTCTAGGTCTGCTCAAAAAAAGGAAAGGAGATATTGTATATATTTCATGTAAGGGCAGGCTTTTTAATCATTTGTTTACCGTGGAAGTGTGGCAATTTCCTCATCTTAATCTCTGTACTAGCGACAGTAGAAGTTCTTTCTGCGTTGAGCAGCAGTTCAGAATCAACTGGGATATGATTTTAAGCAGGCAAGCTAGGATGATGGTTGAGTCTGAGGACACAAGATAAGTTAAGCAAGGAAATCCTAAATTACCATGTAACTGACACTCGTCTGCCTGCGTTCCTTTCAGCGTGTACAATATACAGCCGTGCACACTCCTCAGGACCCCGCTCACGCCCAAACCCAGATTTAAGCACGTGGACTTCTTCCTTCTGCACATTGTCTCATTCCTAACGGTTTAACTTGGTGCTATAGCTACTGTCCTCATTTTGATTAAAGCTGTAGGGAAACGGTGACTAATCCCTTTCCCCCTAGTCTACGAGCTCTGGATTTCTCTGGTATCTGAGTTTCGCGGGGAAAGTGACAGTTCTTGCATTAAAAGAGAGCAGCCCCGCTTTCCGCAGAAGTTTATCACACGCACTTCCATTGAAATGGTAACGGGTCAAGGAGGTCCGCAGCGGGATAATGCTACACAGCAGGAAGGCAGATAGAAAGCTACCGCTAAGAGAGAAACTAGTCCAAGCTAACTGCAGAGGTTTATTGCTGATCAAAAGAAAGCAGCAGCTGAAACAATCTTACACTTCTACAAGGTGAGATGTTACTGCAGCTGGGGATGATTGACTCCCCTTTAGGCTGTATTGTTTAGCAGGAACGAATACCTAACATGACTGCGTGCAAATATTGTAGAGTTTGAAACTACTGCACCGATCATTGTTTTTCGAGGGGAGTAGGCAATCAAACGATTATTTGCTGTGTGTTTTCATTGTGCATTTCAGGGGGTTGTCAATTACAGCTGTCAAACAAGGGTTTCTTTTGAGTCTGTCCTTTATTTTTTTAACCAGTCCTTTTCGCTCTTGTTGGCGCACGGCTGCAAGCACATTGATTGTTGGTTGTTCACGCCTGACTTCACCCTAGGGACACACGTGCTCTTGGACGTTTTATAGAAAATCAAAAATAAAAAAATCAGCCTAAAACATTTTCAAAAGGAAGGAAAAGGTCACGTCAAACTGGCGAGGAATTTCTCTAGGAGGAGGGTGGCTGCGGCTACCAGCAAAGAGGCCACCTGCACCCTGTGTTCCATTGGAACGGAGCCTGCAGAAAGCTGGTTTAGCTCCTCGGTGGGGACTATCCCCTGATTATCCTGCAGGCGGCGCTTTTAGGTATTTACCGTGCCTCCCCACCAGACCAAAAGAAAAAAGTCCCTAGGAGAAGCGGCTCAGCCACACACCAGGGAGGGAAAGACAGACAGAACTGATCGTGCGGAGAAGCTGACAGAACAAACCAGCGCGCAAGACAATCCAAGGGGTGATCTTCGATGCGAGGTATCTCTTCTGTGCAAGAGGTGCCTTAATACCGGAGAGCGGATCTCCTGGGCAGGAAAGCATCAACTTCAGCTTATTTGTGTTCTTTTCCCTCTGATGTTCATGCCTCGCAGTTTCTCTTCCAACAGGAAACATTTCATGGAGAGGGATTGTTACTTTTTGCAGTCGGCATGGGATACTCAGGAAGAGTAATGAGACGCCACAATAAACAACCAGGGAGGAATTTGCCACTCATCTGTTGCACTAAAGCGAAGCTACAGGCGCTGTCTCCTTGGCTGGAAGTGTTGAAGACCACCTGAATTGGGGGAGAGTGTTTGAAAGATGAAGAGAATAACATAGACATGGGGAAAAGTGGATGAGGTGGGCGACTGACAAAAAAAAAAAAAATCCTAAACGGATTTAATTTATAAATGGAATTGAAATGTGCCCTGATAACAGTTGAAGTAAAAACGCTGGATAGCAACGCATGCATATAAACCAAGTAAGTTCTCACCCATTTTGGAATATTTTCTTCTTGACGCTTTGGTTTTATTGTTGTTCCTCTTAAGAGACGCCACCAATTACTGGAATTAACCAACTTTTGCCCACGGTGGCTACAGGGGTTTTGTACCCTCTTGGACCTAGCATTAAGCAACATTTAGATTTTTCCCCTTTACATAATAAACGTGGATTTTATTTATCGCAATCAGTTTAATTGTTGACATTGTAGACAGTGCCATCGTTTGGGTTATTGCAAGCGAAGTCTGACACCTGCAGGACAACTGAGTATATGAAAAAAAACTGAAGGGAAATAGTTTTGTGACGATGACTAGATGGCTCAGAAGTAGCGAGTAGACAATAGAATTGGGTGGGTGTGTTTGCGATTCTTGTAATGTAAACCAAAGGATTTATGCAGAAGGCTAATTCTTTGAGACGGGGCTTTCAGGGAGGCGAGTGAAGCTGTTTAACTGGACAGAAGACTGGTTGTAGAGTTAGCGTGAGTTTGCCTTTAAAGTATAGCGGAGTGCAGCTAAGTGACCGTGACAGCTGTTCAGGTGAGGGCTCAGACTGTATCAGGAATCACCTTTGTCTCATTTTAGATTTTGAATTTTACACCCATATATTATTATTTGGCTACAGAGGTACATAAAAGACAGCGCTTTCAGAAAAAAAGAATTGGTCCTCCCCTCCCTCCAGGTATAGTGTTTGATTATGACAACTATCATGCTATAGCAAAATATTTTTTCATGGGTTACCAGCCTTGTAATTGCTAACACTCAACCGCTTGGAAGGCAGCTGTACAGCCATTGATAGGACATTTTTCTTTTGTTAGGAATACTGAACTTTCTGAAACTATGATGTAATAAAACTGCAGCTCTTGAATAACAGTGTATTTTCATGTAGGAAAGGATAAGTGATAAGCGTTCGAATAATAATTTATCAGCTAAAAGCATGGGGATCTCACAATGGAGTTTTATTAGGATGTAATTTACCAGACAGTAGCAACTCTGCGGGCTGTTTCTTTATCCTGCTATCAACTTGCTCTCAGGAAGAGTTACTTATTTAAAATAGTGTTTCTTTCCCCTGATCTGTCTCTGAAGCTTTGACATATCAGCTTTCCTATGTGTCCTGTCATTGTGAAGTTAAACATTGTTTCAATTCTGAAAATCAAAGTGGATGGGGAACAGCTACACACTAAGTGCAGCAAATTTCATGTACATCTTGTATTTTTTCAACCTTAAAGTATTGTTTTGTTTTTTTTAATTTACAATTTCCCTACTAACCATTGCTACTACAAAATCCTGAAAAAAACATAAAGAGAATCTGGTGGAAGGAGTGTGAGGTTGATGGCAAATGAACATGATGAAAATGAGCCTGAGAATGACTTATATGGTAAACAAACTGACTGAAGGAATTCACCCGTGCATTGAATTTACATTTTCAAGCTCCTGAATATTTTGGCTATTTTACAGTAGTCATAATCCTGTTGAAAAGAAGCAGTTGATGTTCTGGAACCTTAAACAAACACTGACAGAAAATATATACTAAGTAAGGGTTGAATTGTAAAATCCACTGCGATTGGCAAGACCTGCAGCTTTGTTGTTGTATTATTATTATATTTTACAAGGCAGTGTCACTAAATTTTTTTTTGTTTTACTGGCATCAATTGAGTGAGCCCATGTTAGCATGGCAACTGAAATTTATATTTATCCAAAGTTGCCTCATAAAAGAAGTAATGCCAGTTCTTCCTGAACTAAAATACCTTCTAGCTAGAAGTAAATAGAAACGCTACTCCAAAATGCTTTCTGGTTAGTAGGCACTTCTAAAAAATTAAAAGAAAAGAGACCATAAAACAAAGTTCAGACAATATATTCAGAGAAGGATGAAATTAACATCTGGTTTAGTTATGATAAATGCATCCACATAAACTCTATATAATATAGCATGTACACAATTAAACAGTAATAAGTCACCAGGACCAGATGGTATTCACCCAAGAGTTCTGAAGGAACTCAAATGTGAAATTGCAGAACTACTAACTGTCATCTGTAACCTATCATTTAAATAAGCTTCTGTACCAGATGACTGGAGGATAGCTAATGTGATGCCAATTTTTTAAAAAGACTCCAGAGGAGATCATGGCAATTACAGGCCGGTACGCCTAAATTCAGTACTAGGCAATTTCTTGAAACTATAGTAAAGAACAGAATTATCAGATACATAGATGAACATGATTTGTTGGGGAAGAGTCAACATGATTTTTATAAAGGGAAATCATGCCTCACCAATCTACTAGAATTCTTTGAGGCGGTCAATAAGCATGTGGACAAGGGGGATGCAGTGGATATAGTGTACTTAAATTTTCAGAAAGCCTTTGAAGAGGTCCCTTACTAAAGGCTCATAAGCAAAGTAAACTGTCATGGGATAAGAGGGAAGGTCCTCTCATGGATCAGTAACTGGTTAAAAGATAGGGGGAAAAGGGTAGGAATAAATGGTCAGTTTTCAGAATGGAGAGAGCTAAATAGTGATGTCCCACAGGGGTTTGTATTGGGACCAGTGCTATTCAACATATTCATAAATGATCTGGAAAAAGGGGTAAAATTTGCAGATGATAAAACACTACTCAAGATGGTTAAGTCCAAAGCAGCCTGAAAAGAGTTACAAAGGGATCTCACGAAAATGGGTGACTGGGCAACAAAATGGCAGATGAAATTCAATGTTGATAAATGCAAAGTAACGCACATTGGAAAACATAATCCCAACTATACATATAAAATGATGGGGTCTAAATTAGCTGTTATCACTCAAGAAATAGATCTTGGTGTCATTGTGGATAGTTCTTTGAAAACATCCACTCAATATGCAGTGGCAGTCAAAAAAGCTAACAGAATGTGGGGAATCATTAGGGAAGGGATAGATAATAAGACAGAAAATATCATATTGCATCTATATAAATCCATGGTATGCCCACATCTTGAATACTGCGTGCAGATGTGGTCACCCCATCTCAGAAAAGATATTGTAATTGGAAAAGGTACAAAAAAGGGCAACAAAAATGATGATGGGGCATAGAACAGCTTCCAAATGAGGAGAGATTAATAAGAATGGGACTTTTCAGCTTGGAAAAGAGACGACTAAGGTGGGATATAATAGAGGT